CGCCAGAATCTCAAAATTATATTTTTTTGAGATCTTGCTCATAGCTGTAGTTCGATGCCTTGATCATAAAAGCGGCATTCATTTTTCTTATTGGCGTCAATAGGATCCAGTTGGCGCCACGCTATGATGACTGTTTTCACCAAATCAGGTGTATTTGTGTGCGGGGTTCATTGGTGTCCTGATTACGAATAAGACATTAGGAATTAGCGCAGTTAACGCATATATTTTGGTCTCTTGGGCTCTCACCTTTGGTGCTTATGGCTAAGCTCATCGGGAATGGTCCGGAGTGGGTAAATTATGCATTGTGTGACACAAGATTGAGTTTATGAGATTACAGGCTGCAACTTTGAGCCCTTCTCTTCTTGGAAGCCTGGTCCCTAATCACGATCTAATCAGTGGAGGGTGCAGACAAGCAGGAAATAGGCATTAAATGGCGCCAGAGTTAAAAATGAGTATCATATTCTTAATCAGGGCATCGAGTTGCACCTGTAGGCTAACCTCCGAAGAAAAATAAATTTCGAGATTATGGGGCAGTAAAAGTGGAGTAGTACCGACATGTACAACATGTACCGTTTTTACTTCTCATTGTCGTTTTAAGAGGTGTAGCGATTCTTTCGAACATATTTAATCACAGCCGTATATCAGGTATCAAATGGTGGGTGGAAGGAACGTTCCTAAGCTGGGTCGTAACTTCGACCTGTCACCTGCGGTGTCGAGGTTTTCAGCCGCGAGAATGTATCTGAGACGTGGAGCGAAGAGGCCACTTGCGAAGAAGGCCGATGAGGTTTGTATACCATTCGCTACTATTTTTCATTGGTTTTTGCACGCTATGTTTTCGAGACTAGAGTCTCTCCCATTCACTGTTGAATGCGGAGTGCTGAAATGTTCTCGAATATAAGTCAGGCATATTATGCGAGTAGGCCTTGCTCTACGCTCGCTTACTCCACCTCCATGCCATACATCCTACTTTGTTTTTACTTCTTTTTTTCCAACATTCTCTTTTTCTTTTTTGATGCAACTGCAAATTTAGCCCCTCATGCTTCCTCTTCAACGAACTGGACCAAAGTTCAAGCTTGGGCATCCCAAGAAGGTTCCTCTCAGAAAGTCACTCGTCCCAGGAACTGTGCTTATTGTTCTCGCTGGACGTCATAAGGGAAAGCGTGTTGTTTTCTTGAAGCAGTTAGAGAAGTCTGGCTTGTTGCTCGTAACCGGTATGTTCTACTCTTCGTGTTTTTTTTTCAGTTTTTTCTTCGTTAGGCAGCATTTAGCCTTTGTGCTTGTGCCTGAGCAAAACACATTTCTCACCACGCATGGCCTTGGGAGGTCAGTATACGTCGGGTACTGCGCTAGAAAACTAGGTAGTGGAAACGGAGAAAAACAAAGGTGGAAACTATAATGAAGTAGAAATACCCCTAGCGCTTCTGTCCCCGTACGCATTTCGACCCAATGTTAGTAGTCCGCTGCATCGTCCATTTGATGAACTCCTGCTTTTTGCC